GCCGCAACCGAGGAACCTTCACTTTCAAGCTAAGAAAGGTTTCAACTCTACTGGCTACTGACTTCAACCTTAGGGAATCGATCACTTCATTAAGAAGCTATCAGTGTTCATCCATAGGGAGGACTTCGCGTTCAAACCAAAAACCCATCTGACCCGACACAGTACTCAAGTATTTCATCCAGGTTGAAAAACAGAATGAAAAGCGTCAAAAACAGGTGTGTAAACACCTGTTGAGCACGTTCCAATCTTGCTTTCTCCCATGTATATGGAAACCTCACTTGTTTGGTCGCGTTGTGCCCATTTCACGCGAGGCGTGAAGATAGGTGTCCACTATATCGCGATCTAAATTTTTCACGTCGGATCGGTCTGTAAATTCATGGGTGGGTGCGTGGGGTATAGTGGAGAAGCATAACATCGCCCTTTTGGAGGGTACTGCCAAGGGGGGGTGGATTTGGGGGGTTTTCCGGGAGATATGGTTGATTTGTATTGACTTTGTAGTCTATTCCGATGTTTTGTTGTGACTTTTGTAGTCTTTTATAGTGTTTGTAGTCTATCTATTAACTTTGTAGTCTATTCCGATGTTTTGTAGTGACTTTTGTAGTCTTTTATAGTGTTTGTAGTCTATCTATTAACTTTGTAGTCTATTCCGATGTTTTGTAGTGACTTTTGTAGTCTTTTATAGTGTTTGTAGTCTATCTATTGACTTTGTAGTCTATTCCGATGTTTCTATTGACTTTTGTAGTCTTTCGGAATCCGTTGATGGAACACTGACAACGCCCACACAAGTCAAGCGTCGGCATTTGCCGAGACTCGATTTGGGCGTTGTCAACAACCCTCAACCCTATTCCTTTCTTACTCCTCTCCCCCCACCATCATTCACGTCAATCCACCCCCCCGCCACCACTATCCACCATCGTCACCCACCGCTATCCACCGTCGTCACCCACCGCTATCCACCGTCGTCACCCACCGCTATCCACCGTCGTCACCCACCGCTATCCACCTTCGTCACCCACCGCTCTCAACAACAACCACACGTCGCAACGCAGCAAGGACGACATGACAGCGCCACGTCACACAACAACCGAGCGCCCACGCTCTGAACCACGCACCACCACCATCTACGTTCGTCGCCCACCGCCCAACGACCACTACACCACACAGCAAACGAGCGCCCACGCGATGAAACGAGAACCAACGCCCACACACCAACGCAGCAAGAACAACACGAAAACGGCATGGCGCTGGCTCGCAACGCCACGTCACCTGGTAAACGAGCACCCACGCAATTCAACGACCACGCCGATGCGCCCACGAACCAGGCGAAGCGAACGACGGTGAGATGGGGCAAGCAGGTGATGCAAACGACGACGACGACGACCTCGTCGTCGTCTATTTTATACCAAACAGGTGAGTACTACATACCCATCTCCACCCCTCTCCTTTTCTGACACATAGCCCAAATGCCACGTCGTCGTCAACGATGTGGCAACCAGACAGTGAACCATGAGCAACACCCTAGGTAAGTCATCTACGACGCCCACCCCATTAGTCTCTAATACACATTTCAGGTGCCACGCCGCCCGCAGCGACGTGGCAACCAAACGGCGAATGATGCCTGTCGTCATTCGCCGTTGTTCTCCATTTCATTGAGCATGGACCCCGCCTCGACCCCGCCATGTTCACCAATACAACCCATGGTTCCGAGCGGCCATCCCACGCCCCAAGCTCGCAAGAACGACACGCCTGTGCCACCATTCAGTTTTCAGTTGTCACGTCGCCTATGCGACGTGGCAACTAGACGACGAATGGTGACATTCGTCATCATCATTTATTTTTGGTGAGCATGGGGCCCTCCCTCTTCATTCATTTGTTTTCTGATAAGTCTTCCAGATGCCATGTCGTCTACGTGACTTTAACTTAGTCTAATTAGTTGTAGTCTGTTCCATTTTTTACCTCTGGTGCCACGCCGCTGTCAACGTGGCCAACGACGAATGACAACAAATGTTGTCGTTCGCCGTTGTCTCCCTATGTATTTTCTCAATGTATGAGGGTCCAGACTTGTCTGGACCCTATTTATTTGTTTGGTTGTTTACTGTCGGAGAAACCTCTGAACCCTAGACCCACGTTGGCGTCTTTTTCTCTTGCTTCCCAACCACCACCATGCCTCCATCTCCACCACCAACTATGAGTGCCCGTGACCAACGAGCTGCCAACCGTACTACTGCACTTCCTGTTGTGCCTGCCAAACCCAAGTCCACCAGCCGGAAGCGACAACAATCCAATGCTGATGAGTCAGCTACCAAATGCAACAAGACTGTTGGGAATGATGGTGATGAGGACATTGATGATGTTGCCATTGCTGTAGAGGAGTCAAATGATGCAGAGAAAGGAGGGAAGAAGGGGAACTCGAAGAAGGGGAAGAAAACAGGGGCCAAGGGGAAAAAGAGGTATTTATTTCATTTTTCTCAGCTTTGTCTCTTTAAACACCCTCACCACATCCAGTAGAAAGACATGGGCTGATCGTCAGCATGAAGACAAAACTGAGAATGCTAAGGGCACTCCTGCTCATCTTCAGCCGTGTGTATTTTAATTTCTCTTGTTTTATTGTTTTTTTATTTTTTTGATAATTTATAACTCATGGGATAATTGGTTTACAGAATTGAGCGAAAGTTACTTGCTGCAGGCACCTCTGTGGCACCCCCTGAACGTCCTGCTCGTTCACATGTTGGTTCTGTGCTGCCTCCTCGACCTACTGTTTCTAGCAGTCGTACTTGTGTTGATCGTGAACCTAAGCTGACTGCTGCAAAGATTGATACAAGCTCTGACAATGACGATGCTAGTGATAATTCTGGGTCTCAGGCTGACAGTGGGGATCATAGTGACTCTGACTCTGATAATGATACTGGTGGCCAGAGTGCCAAGATTACGTCTGCTACTGTTCGCATAGGTCCACCTTCTAGAGCTAAGTGAACTCAGCCCAGTGAACCTATCACTGCTACTGCTGATGCTTCTGATGATAGTATTTTGGATGTGAAAATGCACAGTCCTCCTCATGGACAGTCATCTCAGCGTGGCCGGGCCCGCAATGTTAAGGCTATTGGAAGTTCTAGTGGTTCTCAATTAGTTAGATCTAGTGGAGCATCTAAACCATATGGAGCCACTATCCGTGGCAAGGCTCTGGGAAATGCCCCAAACATAGGGGATTTTGATCCAGCTGGGGATGACATTTCTATTGATATTGAGGGCACTGTCAACTTATTCCCTTCTGATACCCGCCCAACCACCATAGATATTGATGAAGCAGCTGTCATTGCAGTAACAATTCCATTTGAAGGGGCTTTGGCACCCCTTCTTCAACATGTTGCAAAGTATTATTCTCCAATGTCTGGTAAGCACTTCAAATACAATTTAAAATCTAAATTTTGATTATCTTCTCAGATAACAATGATCGTGTATATATTTTGGATCAGCAGAAACGCAAATGGATAGTCAAGGGTAGATTTAGGGATGCTTTGGCATTTCAAGATTCAGTGGTTCACTTGTGGCAAAAAACTGAATTTGGGCCAACTCTAACTATTTTTCTTGTAAGTTCTGTTATAGTATTTATATTATCTGCTTTGTTAATATGCACTAGGAATCTGATCCTGAGGTTGCTTCAGCTATTCCCCCATCTTTTCTCTCCCATCACTCCAGTTCTTTGTCAAAGTCTCGTTCTAGGTCGTCTCGTTCTCCTTCCTTGCCTGCTGCAGTTCGTCAGTCTTTGTTGATATCTGGCCAATCGAGTGGCCGAGTAGCTTCTGAGGGTCCATCTACCCTGACTACCATTCAAAAGGAAGCACTTTTTACATTCTTGAACATCTCTATGGATCTGCATTCACTCACTCCTACCCTTCGCAACACTTATCTGAAGTACAAGACATTGATAAATGCATCCAAAGCCATGCAGGGTTTACGATCTAGCCAAGAGTGGGCTGACCATCTTACTGAACATGGTCTTGAACACTGGTTTCCTGTCTTTGTTGACTTGGTGAATATCTTCATCGCAAAAAGTCAATTTTACTCCAGCTGGAAGGCATTATTCAGCCGTGCCCAAAATTATCCACAGATGAAAGCATGGCTTGATGCCAGCTCAGATGCTGAATCTGATTCGGAAGTTTGGGCTGAGACCAAAGATCCTGATCATTACACTATTGTGGACTTGGCAGAATGGCTCAAAAGAAAAGATGCGGCGAAGGGAAAGAGGTCGGCTGCTACTAGCTCAGGTGCTGGAAAGAAGTCAGGTGGTAAACAGGAGAAAAGGAAGAAGGAGAGGAAGGTGTCTTCGGAGGAATCAGATGAGTCATCTGGAGGGAAAAAGTCGAAGTTGAAGTTGAAGGCAAAGGCAAAGTCGAAGAAGAATTCACCTGTGTAAGTTTCTATCCTATGAACCATTACTTTGATATGTAAATTGTGAAATTTTGTAATTGTAGCTCTGTTTGGACTTGGACTTTTCTTGTAGCTCTTTCTTGGTTGACTCACTTTGGTCTTATGACTCTCTCTGTATTGAGTCAACATTGGATTATAATCTGGCTTTTGATATGGTTTCAGATGGCATCATTAGCGCATGGTGCACGAACTGAAACCCCATTCCCAGATATATCTTTTTCTGCATTTAATCAAATTATTGAATCAACCTTTGGATCTAACATCTCTTTGGCAACTGTCTTGACCCTTTTGTTCACAATTACAGAAAATGTAGACTTGTTGAATCTCCATTTTCGACAACAACACCCAGAATTCCAAGGTGAAAACAAGACTCAGACCACTGGATGGATGATTGCTTTAGCTAGGGCATTAATTGATCAATTGGGCTCCACAGCTATTTCTTTATATAATGATGAAGATGAAGATGATTCAACCTCCCAGGCCAAGGTCAAGCTGGTTGCAGGAAAGCTGAATGATATGGCTGTCAATTTGAATTTAACTCCATATGATGACCAAGATGCTTACATGGGAAAGCTGCTTCCTGTTTCCCAGAAAGTTATTCAGCCTGTTCATATGATATGTCCTGGATCACTAGTGTGTGGAACAGCAACATGTAAGCCCAGATCACTGGTGCAAGCCACACAGAAATGTGACATACCCTCAGTGACATTGATTAAAGATCACAAAATCTATAAAAAGGTTTCAGTTTTGACAGCAAAATGTCCAGATTGTGAAACATCTTATTCTGCAGATCATGAACACTTTTTTCATGAGTTTGATGGAGCTAAGCAACCAAAGCGAGTTTACCTCAACTCAGCAAAGTATCTGAAAATTGGCAGTAATCTCTGGGTGGATCGATTGTTTTCAAGCTCTGTTATCAATGCAATGTATAGCTTCCATGGCTCTGCTTCTGCATATTCACAATATTGGAATGTTACCTATGGAACAAAGTCAACAAATCTATCCCGTGCTCACATTTGGCAGGCCTTTGTACAAGATTCTTTGCGCACAATTGCAGCAGAATCCAAGATTGACCTAGAACTCAATGATCCTTTGAACATAACAGAAGTCACCACACAGGCATTTGATCTTTTAGGGGAACAGGGAATTATTAGAGCAGCAGATCAGCATGCATGCAGTGAATGTAGTCAGCCATATAAAAAAGCTAGTGATGCTGTTATGAATGATCCTGCAGCTGTAGTGGGAGTTGATGAAAATCAAGCTGTACCACCCTTGGCAGAAGATAACAGAGTTCCACCACAACCACACCCAGCATCTCCTACTTCTCAGGATAACTCTGATGATGATATGGATGTTGACAAAAGAAATGTCACAATGGTTGTACTTGATGGAGTTGTTATGGGACCAACGGTGAATCATTTCAAGGTTATTCTGACTATAATAATTACTAACTTGACATTTATAGCATTGTGCAATTGATGATTGTGTAAATGATCTTTCAAATTCTCGTGGTGCCTCATTGTGTGATGTGCACAATGAAGAATATGGGTCCCGATGCCTTGTACGTGACTGTACAAACAACAGATTTGGAGACACCTCTGCATGTGAAGGACATCAGGCAGAGTGGCGAAAATTTACAAAATATCAAACTCGTCAAACTCGTTCAGGTATTCGGAGAATGTTACAAAGGCCTGGGGAAGCTCAACCTTGGAATCCACAAAGAAGAGGACCAAACCCACAGCGCCATGATGATGCTAATGAGGAACCACCTTTACCTCCTAACTATTTTAGTCCAGCAAGATTCTACTGTGTGGAAACCATTTGTGCACCATGTGGTGTTGTAATTGCATGGACAAAGTTTGATAGGTCTGAGTCAACAACAAATATTTTGCGCTTTTTAGAGGCTGTTTATCCAACCCCAGAATCTCGCCCTGACTATATCTGTATTGACAAAGCATGTCAAGTTTTTCGAACTGCTGTTAGCAATGGAAGTTGGGATGCAATATGGAAACACACAACAAGATTTATTGTTGATACTTTCCACTATATTACCCATCGTGTAACTGATTTTCTTTGCCGAACATATTGCAATCCTTCTCCTGGTGATGGTTCAGCTCCAAACCTTGTCATAATTGAATTTGATGACAATGGTCATCCACATGCTAAGCGAGCATTCAATACCCAAGTATGTGAACAATTGAATGCATGGCTTGGTGGATTTGAGCCAATTCTCAAACACATGAAACCTGGAAATTTCAACTGGTTTTTACATGCAATGTTGTTTTATCACACAAAGCATGTCCTCACTCAACAGAAACGCAAAGCAAAGTCTCAGGAGATTAATGGTGATGATGAAGACTTGGGTTTGGATGAACAACATGCAGAATCTAATGTCTCTGAATCTGATTGAAATAAATAAACCCATGAAAATGAAAATTGGAAAAGTGATGTATTAGTAAGTAACTAGTCTTGATGCAGTAGTAAGTAACTAGTCATATGCCTTATGCCTTGGTTTAGTAAATGATTTAGTGCTACACTTCTATTTGTCTGACCTAAATAAGGTGATTCAGGGTCCAAACTTAATTAACCAGAAGTCCTAGTATTCAATTTCTGTTGATTCCTGTCCATTCCTACCGGAATTCCTGGATTCCTACTGGAATTCCTGGAATCCGGCCGGAATCTCCGGAATCCGCGGATTCCGGTAGGAATCAGTGGAGGAATGGAAAGTATTGTTGGAGCCGTCTTTTATTGTTGACCTAGATGCAGAAGCAGAAGTGGAAGAAGGGGGGATGGGAACAGGTGCGTAGGGAGGTTTCGTTCTAGTTATGCTTGCCTCCTTCTCAGCTTGAGTGTGAAGTCGAAGTAGCAAATTCTCCACAGGTTGAGGCAACGAGGCTTCACATGGCATGGTACAGGGAGGGATTGCCATTGATCGGGTGGATGTGGATGTACATGTTGGCTTCTCAGGTGCACCCGTGTGGTGGGATTAACACTCCTTGCATGTAGTCACTGGAGTCCTGAACGCAGCAGGGAACATCAGCTTGGTCATGTAGTAGTAATACGAATGCATACATCAAGTGACAGCGGCAGTGGTTCTGGTTCGTTCCGACCCCAAATTGATGTACTCCGAGAGGTTCCTCACCACCTTGTCGTATAATAGGAGCCGTAGGATTCATCTTGTTTGATGAAACTGGTGACTCTTCAGCATCCTCACGCTCCTGGGTGGCATCCTCTACTTCTCTTTCTCCTTCTCTCTTTCCCTCTCCAACCCCGCCCTCCTCACATCCTCAGAAGATGCAGCAAGACCATCAGCGGGCTGCTTTCCATGGTGATGATGTTGGGACTCTCCGCACCATCATCGACCCCATTCTCCACAGACCGTACCTTCCCCTTCTTCCTAGCAGGCTTCAACATCCTCACACCCTCGCAAATGGACAATCAATTCAATCCCTGCATCACAGATCATGTCCCCTTCAAGCCAGAGAACGGGCATCATAGGTCTCGCAGGCGTTGTGGGACTAGCATGCAGCATGGTTTTTTAGAGCTGGAGGAGTGGCAGGCTGGACGGCTTCACGTGTCGATGGCGTCATAGGTCTGCCATATTTCTGGGGGGAAGGGGTTGTAAGCCACAGAGCCTACCTGCACCTGTGACCCTGACTTTATCCAGACAAACGTCTGCATCAAGCTGGCAACAGTGTTTTAACGTTAACGTTGACCTGTCATTTGTGTGTAATGATCAGGCCTGTTACGAGATTTGCTGAGGGAGGTGGGGTTTGTGTGTGGTTTTTGTGAGTGCTGAGGGAGTGGTCTGATGGATGCGGCACTTGCTGGATGCGTGCGGGTGCATGGGGTACCATGGGGACCTTATTGGAGGGTAGTGAAAGGAAATGGGCCTGCCGGGGGCGTTGAGATTTTGAGGAGGAAGATGTTGCTGTCTAGGTGTTTTGTCAAGGGATTCGGAATGAGGCCGTTCTCATGCTTGTCACGAGCAATGGGGCTTGCTGCAAGTCATCAACATTTTGAAGTTCCGCAAACAACAACCTTTTTGCAGGATGTCGAAAATCAGCTTAAAGCAGACTCGGGGTAGGTTTGTACCAAGACCGTCCATGTGGCCACGTTGAGCTTAAAGAGAAAGGGACGTGATACTGAGTAAACGCAACATCGTGAAGACTTCACACATACTAAGTCGGTTACAAGACTCAGTGCTGATGCCTAAGTTCAAACTTTTCACATTGCTTTTCCAGTGTGTTCTCTTTTACTTGAGGCACTTGGTAACCAAAGGAACATAGCCATCAAGGCCGCAGGTAAGCGAGACAATTATTAATAATGATGGAAATCGGTTTCATTGGCACTCGAGGGAATTTCTCCGTATACACCTGACGAATTATCTGTGCACTGGTCTTCTACATCGAACGGATGATATGAATTCAAACAATATATATTCTTTCAGAGTCATTAATAGCCGTAAACAGATGTGGGGTGAAGAAATAAGAATGTCCAAGATGAAGCTATAATGACAGTGTGACTACAATTCGGAGCTGGAGAGATCAATGTTCAACACGTTCATGTTCAATACGTATACGTAGATCTGTTCGAAAAGCCACGTCAGAAAGCGCTTAGAAAGTAAGGAATAAAAAACTGATGGAGTAGCAGCTGGAGCGGGACCCTTGGGAGGAAGCGTAGAAGTGCACTGAAAAAAAAATGTGAGAATCAAGGAAAAAAATTGAAGACATCGAAGCCTTCACACCTCCTCCTGTGGAACACCTGTCCCTTTAACAACTGATCCCGCTGGGGACATGGAAGGGGTGTTGTTGCCCTGTGGAACTAGTGCTTGGAAGTCCAGTCCCAAGACTGCAAAAAGACTGCAACTGGACTGGACCAAGACTGCAAAAGACCGGACCTGCAGTCTTGGTCTTTCAGATTTGAGATCACAAGACCGCAAAAAAACCGGTTAACATGGACCGGTCTTGTCGGTTAAGACCGGCCTTTTGTACCTACATAATAGCCCTTCAAAACGCACCTAAGATCATATTTTTATGATAAAAACTGACAAAGATACATAAAAAACTGTAAAATATTTCATGAAAATAGCAGATGTACCTTAGTATTTTTGTATATACATCAAGTCTCAACGCAATTTAACGTTCTTGCACTCGTTTAAAAGCTACGAAGAATGTTAATAAAATTACCGACTCACAATTGCAAAATTTATGGCATATTTAGCTGAAAAACCGGTCTTGAACTGGTTGTAACCAGTTTGGACCAAGACTGGTCCAAAGACTGAAAAAGACTGCAGTCTTGGTCTTTTCCGGTCCTGGTCCGGTCTTTTGAGGTTTTAGGAATTGTGTGGACCGGTCTAGGTCTCGGTCTTTTTGTTTTGGGTCAAAAAACCGGACTGGACTGGACTTTCAAGCACTATGTGGAATGGTAGGAGCGACGGAAGGAATGGCGGGTCCTGCAGAGTAATTCGGTGCGGGAGCAACTGTGCCATTAGTCAATGGGGAAGAGTATGTTGTGGGACCGCCTTGAGCTCCAGTGGGTGCAGGACCGTTGACAAGAGGGACGGTCAATGACGCAGGAGGAGTGACAGGTCCTCCCTGAATTTTAGGATCAGTCGGAGCATTGCTGCCAGTGGGTGGGGGAGATGTCGCAGGACCTCCCTGAGTTCCAGTAGGTGCAGGACCATTGACGGGAGGGAGAGACGAGGATGGGACCTCGTTGAGCTCCAATAGGTGCAGGACGAGGGACATTCAATGATGCGGGAGGAGCGACAGGTCCTCCCTGAAATTTAGGATCAGTTGGGGTGTTACTGCCAGTGGGTGGCGAAGATGTCACAGGACCTCCCTGAATTCCAGTAGGCGCAGGACCATTGATGGGAGGGAGAGACGATGATGCCAGAGGAGGAAGAGGCCCTCCTAGTGCGTTGCCGCCAGTGGGTGGTTGAGAGTATGTTGTGGGACCTCCTTGAGCTCCAGTGGGTGCAGGACTGTTGACAATAGAGATAGTCAATGACGCGGGAGGAGTGACAGGTCCTCCCTGAGTTTTAGGATCAGTTGGGGCGTTGCTGTTGGTGGGTAGCGGAGAGTATGGCGCAGGTCCTCCTATAGCTCCAGTAGGCGCAGGACCATTGACGGGGGGGAGAGATGATGATGCTGGAGGAGGAAGAGGTCCTCCTGGCACATTGCTGCCAGTGGGTGGCTGAGAGTATGGTGCAGGAACTCCTTGAGCACCAGTAGGTGCAGGACCATTGACAGGAGGAATAGACGATGGCGCAATAGGTCCTCCTGGAGCACTATATACTGGAGGAAGCTGGAAGCGGAGCGACAGAATTAATATATTGCGAAAAAATCACAGTGTTAGATTTTTTACCACATGGTGATCACCAGGTCCAACAAGATAATTGGATGGATGAGCATCTTGAGGTGACTTGTTTGTTACCAGACCACCTTTGGGTGGACTGGATCCACCAGGCTGCTTGGGAGGTCTTTACGCTGCCACTGCTTTTCCGAGCGGACTCCGGCCGGACTCCGTCGGACTGAGGGTATGCAGAACAGATATTTTTCTGCTTTGAAATGCAGCAAATTTTCCGGTGAATGTCCGAAGCTTTTCCGAGCATTTTTGGTCGGACTGAAAAGTCCATCGGACTTTTCCGACGGACTTCCGATGGACTAACAGCAAACTAGCACCCAGTCCACTGGAAATGACAAGCAAGTGCCAACGGAATTCCAGTGGACAAATCCAACAGAAGTCCAATGGAATTCCAACAGACTGTTGTTATTATTATTAATATATAACATAAAAAAAATGCAACATTGGGGAGTTGAACACTCAACCTTAGGATCTGAAGCATATGGAACACAATGTTAAACCAGCTGCACCAAGGAGCCTTTAATATAAGTAAGTACTTTGTACTATACATACCTACTGTTTGACCGCTTTCCTAAAACGGTCATCGGCAAATGCCGACGCATCATTTGGCCATCATCAACGATCCCACGTCGCTTGTCCTCAACCACATCCATCCCCAGCAACGACAGCCCACCGACCCACGATGACACGACACACGACGTGGATGGCACGACGACATGACGACAACAACACAACAACAACACAACAACACAACAACAACAACACGACGACGACATGACCACACGACGACACGACGACACGACAACCCGATGACGACGATGACACGACGACGACGACACAATGATGTGTGAACGACACGCGACATGGACAACACAACAACACAACAACACAACAACACAACAACACAACAACACAACAACACAACAACACAACAACACAACAACACAACAACAACAACAACACGATGACGTGTCGACAACGCCCGCCAATGAGACAACAACGAGGTGACGACAACGCCCAAGGAGAACGAAAGGCAACAACGATGCGCAACGGCGACAGGACGGACGACGACACGACAACGACAACGACAACGACACGACGACAATGACACAACACGCGAGGACGATGACAAAACACGCGACACGATGACGGCGATGCGAGGATGGCGACACGACACGACGCAAGGACGGCGACACGACACGACGCGAGGACGGCACGACGCGACACGAGGACGCCGACACGACGCGACGCAATAATGCGTCAACGATGCGCGCCAATGACCATGCGCGAATGAGGATGAGGGCCCAGCACCACCATCCCCTCCCCCCTCCATTACTCACCATTCCATCCCCTCACCATTACTCACCACTCCCTCCCACCACCCTTACTCCCCTCCCTTGCTGCTCACCACTCCCTCCCCCCTCCCTTGCTCCCTCCTCCTCCCTTACTGCTCCCCACTCCCTCCTCCCTTGCTGCTCACCATTCCCTCCCCACTTCCTCTTCCCTTGCTGCTCACCACTCCCCACTCCCTCCTCCTCCTCCCTTGCTGCTTACCATTCCCTCCCCCCTCCCTTTCTGTTCCTCCCCCCTCACTTTTTGTCCCTTCCCCCCTCCCTTTCTGATCACCACCCCCTCCCCACACCCTCCCCCTTCTCTGTAACATAGAATGTAGTAAAATAAATTTATGTAGTTATAAAATATACTTTGTTTTTTGAAACCTCAATGTCTTAAGGAATTCAGCATAAGGTCTGACCAGGGCCTGACTTGTTTAGATTTACTTATAAGAATTGCAGACTGGACACTGAAAGTCTGTTGGAAGTTGTGCCATTTTTGCTTAGAAGTCCATTGGAAGTCCAGTGGAAGTCCAGCAGACTGAGAACTTAGCAATTATGATGGTTTCTGCCTCTGTCCGTTGGAAATCCGATGGAAGTCCAGCAGACGTCCAACGGACACAGAATTTCGGCCAGTCCAACCATTTCTTACTTCTAAGTAGTTTGAGTGGACTTTCACTGGACTTTGCCTGGACTTGCAGCGGAATCCAGTCATGTCCAACGGACTCTGACGGTCTTCCGACGGACTGTCCACTGAGTCCATCAGAAATGGCAGGGTCCGATGAAAGTCCATTGGAGTCCGTTGGACAAGCAGTGGGAGTGTAAAGTACTGCTGCTTGGAGGCGCAGTCATCTTGCAGGAGATCTTTGGCAGGTGGGCCACCGACAGGAAGGGAAGACAAGACGATGGGAACTGCAGGATACCCTTGCGTGGGGACTCCTTTGGGCGGATCGTTGGGTACATTGGTCTGTGAGGGGTACATTGGCGCTGGACCAACAGGAGGGCTGCTCGCTGGAGGAGGATACTTCAAACATTGGGTCAGATATTGGAGGTTGAGTGAAGTTAAAACCTTCTTACCGATTTCACAGGATCAGCTGGAGACTTTGAGGCATAAGGATACAGGAGTTGAACTGGTGCGGGTCTGTTCACAGGGGAAGGGATGGTGGAAGGCGGCAGGACATAGAGGTAAGAGATTGTTCAGCATTGAAATAAGCTTCATACCACCTGCTGGGCGTCACAAGAGGTCAATGGCCAGGGGACAGGACCAGCGTTTGCGAGTTGAATGGCGCAGAGCATGAAAGCAATGAGCATGAGGAAACGGTTGGCTGCCATTTGACTGAGATTAATTGAATGAGGCTCAAACGAAGAGAAAAAACTGGGTTGGATGGAGTGAGAAACTGAGTAACCTTTATACGAAATTGTATCTGAAGAAATGACCTGAAGAACACCTTGACTGCGCACAGAAAAAAATCTCCAAACGGAAAGTCTTGGCCAGATGCCAAAGCTTGCAGACATAATTTTCGTTCCTTCACACGACAGACCAACACCTCCAGAGCCCTATACTGCGCATTGGTTAGTAGTACATAGCAACGGTAAAACAAGAACTAAAAATAACCACAGGCTTTGCACTCACAAAATATGATCCACATATTGGTCTCATTTTGCATATAAGTGTGTTCCTGGCCGATTTCGAAGAACCTACTCATATTGTTCTTTGATGATAGTGTTTCGGAAGCTCATCAGCTGCGGAAGGAGTGTAATTGAAATTGCAAGCTTTCCTGCAGGCTTGGGATTGCAGCTGAAAACCCTCGGAAATCAAGGCTGCCATAGCTCAGGCGAAGGGGACATCATGACATGAGCTCCGCACCCAAGCCAAATTTGCCGTTTTCGACATGCATAGCAGCATGAAGGTAAGCTATCTGGACATTTTGATTAATGAATGGCGTCGAACTGCCACACTGGTGACATTCTGCGTGATGCTCACCAGAATATATACCTGCTTTTGAAGCCTTTCCATCCCTATCACCTCCAAAAGAACGAAAGGATCGATGTAACCCAACATTTCCGCGTACTTGTTCTCTGTTTCTCAAGGTCATTGAAGAGGGGAGACGAAGCACCGCCGACGTACTTATAAGATCGACTCAACGTTAGTGCTGATAAGGTTCGGCAACGTCAAAAGACAGAAACTAGACCTATTAGTTGTCAAGGTTGGATGGAGGAGAGGGGCGGCTTTGGTTCCATTTGAGTCGACAACGATAGTGGGAATGTCAAGAGGGGCAAAAATGGCATTGCTATTGAACAACAATGACTCTGAGCAAGAACATTTGCATGTTACGAGATGTCGCCAAAAAATGCTCGCAGATCAATCGATCACAGTTGACTCAGAACAGGCCCAATCTAAAAACCCACGCATCAGGTAAGTCCAAATGGATCATAAACGAAATCCTTCTTTGCAATGATTCGACAGACCTCTATTAAGTAACTCCTGCTCAATCATCAAGTAACTCCCTGAGTTCGAACTTGTTCTTGCCAGTTTCTCATTCTATGGGCCACAAATAGTGTTTAAAGGTTCAGTTCAGTCCGGTTTTTTGCCCCAAAAACGCGCAACCGTGGACCGCAACCAGTCCAGAACCGACCCAGATATTGAGGGAACCGAACCGAACCACCTAGGACCGGTCTTTTGCGGTCCATGATACCGGTTCAGACCGATCCAGACCGGTTTTTTTGCGTATAATTTATTATACCAATATAAACCATTTGTATCTCAACCATTATTACTCTGAAAAATAAACGGGTTATATAAAATAGTAAAGCATATAAATACCCGTCATTCTACCAATTTTCAAGAGATTTAATGAAGATTTGACATAGCTATGACTGAAACTGAATTACATCTCCTAGAGACTCGGGTAAAATATGGATTTGGTTATATCTTTCTCAATTCTTAACCGTTTTTGATGAAACAAAAACCCAATAAAAGGCAATAAACGTGGTTACAAGGCTATGTAACGCACGTGACCGTTTATGTTGAGGTTCAGAAACCTACGCTATGTTCTCTCTTTACTCCTATTTACTGACACCGTCTTTTACTTCCGTATATACAATTTTCTCGCTCCTTTCCGTACTTCGCACCTCAGTCGTTTACCCATACGTGTAACCGCCTGAGGTGTGTATTCCTTTACTTATATTTCTTCTGATACATTACTTACTTATCTCTACCTTAGCTCTTACTTACGGTCTTATCCCAACAGGTAGAGATTGACTTATACAGTCGTTTACCCATACGTGTAACCGCCTGAGCTCTTACTTACGGTCTTATCCCAACAGGTTATGGGCCCCGCTCGCTCCTAAATCTTCAGAAGAATACCGGTTACACACATATCCCCTATCGACCCAATACAAGACTTATTACCATGTCTGGAAGTCACAATACATCGATCCCTTTCTCCTTGCCCGAGGATCAACACTGCCGTGGATATGAGAACTTCGCGAGCTGGAAAACACTTATGATTGCTCATGGGAAACCCCGAGGATACCTTAAATACTGGGAGAACAAAATCGTCGTCCCCCAGGAGGTAATAGACGAAGAAAACCCATCCACTGAACCGAAAACATCATCACCCGCGCCTGTCGCCGATAAACCATCAGGTCCTACCCCTGCACTCTCCACAACTCCGTTAGCGCTCGAGTACGAACTCCGCGAGAGCTCCGCGATGTCGTCGATCTTGATCAATCTGATAGATATTGCTGGATCAGGAGTTAACCCAAATGGGAAAGCGCATGAGGCTTGGACCCTGCTAGCCAAGCAGTATGGTGGCGCAAGCGATAGGGCTAGGAATATGAGGGAAAGGGCATTAGCAAACTGCAAATTCGAAGAGGGAATGAAAGTTGCAGGAGAAAACGGCCATATCGAGAAAATGCGCGCACTGCGAAAATCCGCTAACGATGCCGGTGCTGAAATCACCGATGTACGCTTCATCACAAAACTCCTCGACTCTTTCCCCGAGTCCTGGGACCCCATTATATCGAATCTATACGATAAGGAGGATCTGAGCGAAATTATCATGAAACTCACCTCCCATGGGGAACGTCTCGCTAACCGAGCATCTGAGACAACCAAAACAACCGCTACCCCTGCCTTCGACTCTGTTAAAGCGCTAGAGGCGACTGTCCACGCTCTCCAGGCTGAAGTTCATGGCCTCCGAGCGAGACCTGGGGGTTCGTCTAACCCAAATAAATCCCACCTCGTATGCGCCAACCCTACATGTGGAAAGACTGGTCACTTGATCAATGACTGTTTCCAAATGGGTGGCGGAAAGCAGGGTCAATACCCAGCGTGGTGGAAAGGAAAACGGACCGCTTCACCTATAGCAAATTTCGCTTTGACCATCGATGGTGCAGTAAACGCCGGCGGACATTTCGCGTTATCGGCTACCCTCAGTGACGAGGTCAATAAACTATTGGAGGAGAACGAGTCAGTTCTTCAGAAGGTTGCTTTAGCTGCTAGCAAAATCTTACCCTCCATCTCGTCGTGCTCATTCGCGGATTCTGGATGTACCACGCATTTCTTCAAAAACCATGACGTCTTCAAGACCTATAAGACTTTGGAAAAGATGGCTGGTCAGTCGTCGAAGGAAGGCGCCAGTTTTTCGATTCTGGGGGTGGGCGATGTTGAAATCAAAGTGGTTTTCAATAACGTCGAAAATACCTTAACGTTCCGTGATGCCCTTCACGCACCAGACATCACCGCCAACCTTTTATCCATCAGCAAAATGGACGTCGCGGGATGGCATGCTGTATTCGGAGATCAAAAGGTCCGTTTCTATAAAGGAAAATCAGAGATTTTCGGTGGAGTTCTCAAGAATGGACTATACCTTGTAAACGGATCCTTCTCAATGACCATCCCGACCGCCCTCACAGCCCAATCCCTTCGGAGTCCTACTGACCTTGCTACATGGCATCGCCGATTCGCCCATTTCGGGGTCACTAGGGTGAAACAAGCTTTGAAACTCGTTGACGGCCTTGAAATTACATCCGAGGACGTGATTGGACAATGTGAGGACTGCATTCTCGGGAATCAGAAACGACGCCCATACGACGACGATGTCCAAGTCGAAAACAAAATACTGAGACTCACCAATATCGACATCTGGGGACCGTCTCGAGTCAAATCTCATGGTGGATCACTATACGGAATGAAATTCCATGATAGTGGATCAGCCCACCGAAAAACCTACTTCCTCGCCAACCGTTTATCCGAGACGACTCTGACTGCGTTGAAAACCTATCGGGGTGAAAGTGAAAAGATCACCGATATGCACATGGTTTTTGTCAGAGTTGACAACGCCCCAGAATTCAAGAGCAATCTGTGGGCAGAATACTTTCGTGAGACAGGCCTAATCATGGTCCCAACAGCTCCATACTCATCTTCGTCGAATGGCACTGCTGAACGCTCTATCGGAATTACCACTGGTGCAGTCCGAGTAATGCTCATCGACGCTGGTTTATCGGCAAAATGGTGGGCCGAGGCGTGGGCTTTCGCTGACTACGTTGAAAATCGGTTGCCATCAAGTCGACATCCAGGTACAATCCCTGAAGAGACGTGGACGGCGAAGAGACAGGATGTGGGACATATCAGAGTCTGGGGTTGCATCGCATATGTGCACATCCCCTTTGAGAAGGGCGGAAGCAAATTAGCCGCACGGGGGCAAAAGGGCAGAATGATCGGAATCGAGGGCCGAGGCGTTTACCGGATCTTGATCCCAGAGACGGGCCAGATCATCCGCTCCCGAAATGTCAAGTTTGAGGAAGGTCTTGGACACCGCACCCTCACAACTGAGGGGGAGTACTTCCACCAGGACGACGGCGACAATAACTATGATTTCCTTCTCGAGCCTACCTCTACTGTAGACGACCCGATTATTCCTCCCACCGTTCCTGCCAACCCAATTGCTTCAGATACTACTATCCAACCTCAAAAACATGTCCCTCGTCCCAGAATCATTTATCCCCCTGCATCACGCCAATCAGCAAGAATTGCAGCTAAGAGTGGAACTCCACCTGAAGAAGATGACGCTTCAATTCCTATTTTGGAAGACACCGATGAAGACGACTCTACGCACACTGCGTTAAATGCCGCTTTCCCTCCAGAACCACTAAATCGTCTTGTCCCGATGACATTCGAAGAGGCGTTTGATTTATGTCGACGTCACCTATGGTTCCCAGCCATGGAAAGGGAAATCGCTCGATGGGACGAGCGTGGGGTGGTTACTGCAGTTCCCCGGCCCCCTGGTGTAAAAACCATCAAAGGGAAGTGGGTATATGATCTAAAAGTTGATGGACAAGGAAGTCTCATCAGACGACGTGCCCGTGGGGTAGTCAAAGGTTTTTCCCAGAAGCTTGGAGAAAATTACTATGAGTCCTTTGCCGCGGTTGCCAGGTATGAGTCAGTTCGGATGCTGTTTGCGCTCATTGCAAGTTTGAAGCTCCATTTCTGGCTTATCGATTTCGTTGGAGCGTACCTCAACTCCAAACCCCAGGGAGTTAACTATCTCGAAATTCCACAGGGTTTCGAAAACCACTACAAAATCCCCAACATCGACACTGTTCTACTCATGAACTTTACGATATACGGAACCATGGACGGCGCCAATAACTGGTTTCGTCTACTCAACAAAACATTTACTGAACTCGGTCACCGCCAATCTCGAGCGGACCCATGTGTACGGATCCAACATACTACCGAGGGATACACCATTTCGTCAACCTACACCGACGACGTATCTGCAGGATCTTCCTCAGTTGCCGCAATGGAAAGGGCAAAACGAGAACTTGCAGCAAAATTCGAAATCACCGATCTAGGCACACCTAATAAAGTCCTTGGCATGTCGATCGTCAACCACCCTTCTGGCGACATATCTATCCATCAAAAGCCGCTCATCATGAAGGCCTTGGCTACTTTCGGAATGGAGAACGCTAACCCAAAGTATACGCCCCTCCCTCCAGGCATCACTCTCGTTGAATCACAGCCTACACCTATTCCTCCTCCCGACTCTGAATTTATGCGCGATAAGGACTATAGGAGCGCGTTGGGAATGCTTAACCACATTGCCAATGGGACTCGACCTGACATTGCATTCTCTGTCATGGTACTAATGCGTTATGCATCCGATCCTCGACCAATGCACTGGAAACTCGTTCAACACCTCCTTGCGTACCTCAAAACAACCAGTAACCTCGTGATCACCTACCGGAAGGATGGGGTTATCAAACCCTTCGGATATTCTGATTCATCATACGCCGACGAATCCGATAGTCGAAAATCATCCGCTGGGTTCGTCTTTATATCTTCTGGAGGCCCAGTCAGCTGGAAAGCGAAAACTCAGAGGCGCGTCAGTACCTCTACCGGAGAGGCCGAATATGTGGGCGTTTTCGAAGCTGGGAAACAAGCTAAATGGGTATGCGCTTGGTTCTATGAAATTGATCAATATTTCGACCTCCCCATCACCGTCTACTGCGATAACGACGCTGCCGTCGCTCTCTCTAAAAACTCTGGTGGTCATACCAAAATCAAACATGTCGATGTCAAGACCCACTGGATTCGTGAGGCCGTTAACCTCGAGGATATCATTGTTGTCCCAATTGACACATCCGAGAACGTTGCCGACATCTTCACAAAATCTCTCTCTCGACCAACGTTGGAGTACCTCATCAAACTTATGGGAATGGAATTCATCGATATTTAGGAGCTACGGTTTCAGGGGGAGTGTTGAGGTTCAGAAACCTACGCTACGTTCTCTCTTTACTCCTATTTACTGACACCGTCTTTTACTTCCGTATATACAATTTTCTCGCTCCTTTCCGTACTTCGCACCTCAGTCGTTTACCCATACGTGTAACCGCCTGAGGTGTGTATTCCTTTACTTATATTTCTTCTGATACATTACTTACTTATCTCTACCTTAGCTCTTACTTACGGTCTTATCCCAACAGGTAGAGATTGACTTATACAGTCGTTTACCCATACGTGTAACCGCCTGAGCTCTTACTTACGGTCTTATCCCAACAGTTTAACCGGTTGCAACCGATTAAAACCGGTCTTTGAACGGTTTTAAAAGATTTTCGAAATGAGGCAACCGGCAACCGGACCAACCCCAATTTGGGGCAACTGCAACCGAAAAAAAGACTGGACCATGGACCGGTTCAGTTCGGTCCACCAGTTTTTTGTGGTCCTATGGACTGAACCTTTAAACACTAGCCACAAAAAAGCTCGATGGAGTCCTGTAAGCCGTCCCAGGCAGCCAAGGGGGTGCCGGCCCGGGAATCCCATACCAGGATCCAGTTAGTTAGTCCAGCCGCAGGCTGCGAAAAAAAAGGATGCCTTGAGCAGAGGGCCTTAAATCATCAAATTGAGCACCTTGTAATGACTACAGCTTCAATAGAGGCCATTAAGCACCATAAAAATGAGTGATATAAGGTGTTCAGTAATTTCCTGCCATATTTGGGTCATCAATGTCAAATTACATTGAAATCAATGCGCTGCACTCGCATCCTCATAACCAGTGCTAGACTACTTCACGGTGGACCAACAACATGAACAATATTTAAGAATCTACAGTACGACGGATTTTGGAGGGGAGAATCAGAAGTGCCAATTAATGACAGGTGAGTTCTATCAATACCTTTTAATTGATGACAGAGACTTACTTTCTGTGCATCCAACAGTCTCAGAACAATCTAAACGCTGAAAGCAGCGGTGAGAACAGTGGTGAAAATGAAAGCGGCACAAAAGTGACATTACTCACTGATGAGATGCCTCGCACTGAGGTTGCTGAGCTGCCAGAAGTCGAAGATCCTGAGGAAGAGTCAGGGTGGTCAAAGCGCAAACATGTCCCTCAAAAAGGAGAAGACCATGACACACTGGACAGTTGTCTTTGCAGAATAGTTCTCAATGGCTCGGAGGACGAGGTCCTTAAATGCAAACAAGCTGGTTGTGAGACCCAGTGGGTAAGTGCATTGCATTATGAGAACTCACTGATTTTCAACTCACATTATATGCCTAGTTCCATCTCAAATGTGTTGAACTTGGGCAAGCACCCTGGAACTGGGTCTGCGTGGCTTGTGCGGTGTCTGGGAGAGGGCACAGGGGGAAGCGCTCATGCTGATGATGTCACGTTTCTATTTTTAGACACGTGCCTGATTACATTAGTTAGTCAGTCCACCTCAAGTTGCCTTAAAAAAAATCGACCCCAGGTCTTTTTTTCCGATGCCAGCACCCCCTTGCAGGCAGCAGCAATTGTGTGAGAGGCGGCATGAGCAGCCTGAATGTCATGTGATAATCTGAACTCTTCCAAAAAGGTTCAGCAACCCTATTCATGCTCTACAAATGCTGAGAGTTTGAAAGAGATTTCAGATGGATTCAGAGTGGTAGTGCATTTTAGTTGTGTACTAGTTAAGTCTCTCACACAAAAGCCATCATATTTCATCTTTTCCACGCATTCTTGAAGATCAAGCCAGAATTACGACCTTTTTCGAAGTGGCCCACGATCGGCAACCGTAACCATGCATGTTGGCTTTCAGCAGACAGTAGCAGAGACCATGGCAGCTATCAGACAGGTGTGTATATCTCCGCCTCTTCGCATCATTGTTCACAGGCATTCAGCTCAACTGAATATGCTGTCAGTCTCCTCGTTTGCAATTTCAGCACTTGCCCTATGATCTTCTTCGTCTTTCAAACTGTGACAAAATTCAAGCAGCTCCTACCACGTAGAACCAGGACACTTTAATTCTGGTGCAAGGTGTCCAGTGGTATGCCTTCCAGAATGGGTGTGCGAATCTAGGTGATAACGCTGGACAGCCTCGGCTCGTCAAGCAGCGGCACTACTAAAACTGATGAACTCCCCCAACATGGATAGGGAAGGATATTGAAAGAGTGGGATCATGCCTGAGAGATGTTGTACAAACTCAGGCTTGAAATTTGAGGGCAAGTTGATAAAGGTTGAAGCAACTACAAATCAAACGATTGGGGATTATGTATATGATATCCATGTTTAAAAACGATCACTGGGAAACGATGGCTTTGCTCTCTTGACCTTTCTACCGCAGTCCACCCAAACAGTTTCTTTTTGCTTCAAGGATGGGTTATTGGCATTGAACCGTTTAATAAGTGCGTTATAAAGCTTGTGGTCAAACCCAACGCACTGTAGACCCAAGTTCTCCGCCTTGAGGACGCCCTGGACGTAAAGCTGAACTACCATTTTTCTCGTGATGTGGTGAACCTTTTGTATGTTTGTTGATATCGTAGCATCCACCATTTCAGACATCGACTGAGAACGCAAATAAAACTTCAAGATTTTGACTCAACCAATTGTGAAAAAGGGGCGGTGTAAAGTATCTATTTGGACGGCTGGGTTTTTCTGCAGATTGTTGTGACACTTGAACTCGCCTCCGTAATAAACTAGATCCTTGCAGTTATAAAACAGTGAAACAGTTTGACTATACAAGCTGTTGAAAGCAGACTTCCTTTTCCACAGGATTTTGTCAGAGTCGAATGTGAAGATGGGCCAAAGGCGAGAGCATGGAGTTTCAATGATGTGCACCACATAAGTCGGCCAGGAACGTATAACATTTTCTTAGTGCATCTGAAATGGATGAACAATCAAAAAATAAATAAAAAGGTGCAGTGGAACAGCACCAACAGTGAAGATTGGGGGTCCTGGTTGAAGGTTCCCGGAATTAGTAAAAATGAGTGTTTAAAAACAACGTTAAACCCACTGCATTGAGATAGGCGCATAAGTTGACACCTCTGTGACAAACGGGGAGGATGTCTTCAAAGTCTGGGTGGCCCATACATCTCGGAAGAGAGCCAAGCCTTTTGTTGAGCATGTGGCGGGATTCACGCTACGCACACACTGAGAGATGAGTAAAAAAGCGCCCAAACCATCGACAAGTTGGCAGACCGTTGTCCCAGACCTGGACACAATTCCATCAGATGCCTGACATTGGGAAGGAGCGTCTTTTCGATCCGTAAGCGAATTGATTTTCTCTTCTTGTTCATCGCATCTCTAAAACATTCTCTTAGATTTTGAATTCCACACAGGATGGTAGTCCTTACTTCCTGAAATCGCTGTTTTGCTTCGCGTGCCTTTTGGTACTTTTCACGATACTTTTCGACGGATTTCTCCAATGCTGCAATTTTTTCATCCTAGCAGAAATTTCAACCTACAGACTGATCATGGATTGAAGGTGACTCACCTTTTCTCTACTCAATCTCTCTGTCTCTTGGATCTGATTGATATTCAGCATTCGGACCGAGATTCCTACACACACATTGTGCACCTGACTGTTGTCCTGTGATAGGAGGAGGCTATTGTCTCCTGGCTCCTGTGTGATCGGTTCACGAGTAGTTCTACCAGGTTGAGCAATAGTTCTTACCTTCTTGCATTGGTTCGCTAACTGATGGTACCACTCTTTCTCCGCTCTCTCATCCTCAGCACACTTCTTCAAAATCTTCATTGCAGTCTCTGCCCCTTTGGCTCGGTTAGTAAGTTCAATTACATTGGCCTATATGCAGGGTTTGGCTCAATACAGATTCGTCAATGAGATCATATGGGGCACCTGATTTTCCTCCAACTCTTGGATCCTCTTCTGAGCGACTTTGAGTTCCTTCCCGAGGAGGGCGACCATCTCAACGGCAAGTTCTCCGTCTGCTTTGATAGATTCCATGGGGAACGATGTGACATGTCACAATGTTGGAGAACGATTTGGTTGAAGTCCCCATGGTGTTTGTTTGGCAATCATTTCAAATTTGGCAGGACTCTCAGGGTGCATGCATTAGCGCCCAAACAAGAGGCCCAAACATAGCCTTTATGGAAAGAAAATGTAATCCTGTAATACATTGATGACTTTAAGAGTTTTCGACTGATTGTGTATGCATCAAAGACTTTCGAACCTGACTTCGACTGGCGGGTTTTTCTGTTGTACAACTTGTACTCCATTTGGGCATTTGAGGACAGTGAGCACGAATGATTGGTTCATACAACAGCCATGTAACACAACTAAAACCTATCACTGTATGATGACGATTTTGCTCTTTGGACCATTCTATTGGAGTCCAACTGATGACTTCCTTTTCGCTTCAAGGTTGGATTATTCATATTGAACCATTTGACAAGTGCATTATAGAGCTCGTGGTCGAACCCAACGCACTGCAGGCCCAAGTTCTCAACCTTGAGGATACCCTGAATGTAAAGCTGAACAACCATTTCCCTCATAATCTGGAGGAGCCCCATTTAGATGGTCGACGGGGTTATCGTAACATCTGCCATTTCAGATATCAGCTGAGGACAAAGATAAAAATAAAGGTTCTTTATCTCAATCAATTGTAGAAAAAGGGACGTACAATATCTTGAATGCGATCACTGTCTGGGTTTTTCTGCCGATTGTTGTGACACTTGAACTGGCCTCCGTAATAAATAAAATCCTCATAATTGTAGAACAATGCAACGGTTTGACTGTACAGTCCGTTAAAATCAAACTTCCTTTTCCATAAAATTTTGTTGGAGTCCAATGTGAACATGGGGCCAAATGCGAGAGCGTGGTGTTTTGACGATTTGCACCATGTAAGACGGCCAGGGAGATATAACATTTTTGTAGTGCATCTAAGATGGATAAATGAACAAACAAAGAAGATTGGGGATCCTAATTCCAGCTTTTAGTCATACTGAGCCTTTCAATGCAAGGTCGAACTCACTGCGTTAAGATAGGCACATAGGTCGACACCTTGGTGACAAATGGGGAGGAAGTCTACAGGGTTTGGCCGACCTGGGTATCTCGGAAGAGAACTGATTTTTTTGTTGAATACATGGCAGGATTCATGCTACGCATGCAGAGAGATGAATAAACAAATGCAAAAGCAGTGAACTGGCTGACCGTCGTCTCTTCTCCGTCTCTTGGATCTGATTGATATTCAGCATTTGCAACCGAATTCCTACACACATTGTGCACCTGACTGCTGTCTTGTGATAGTAGGAGGCTATTGTCACCTTGCTCCTGTACAACCAGCTCACGAGGTGAGGCTTGTTCTATCAAGTTGAGCCGTAATTCTTACCTTTTTGCATTGGTTCGCTAACTGACGGTACTGCTCCTTCTCCATTCTCTCATCCTCAGCACACTTCTTTAAGATTCTCATCGCGGTCTCTGCCCCTTCAGCTCATTTAGTAAGTTCAATTATATCGGCCTATATGAAGGGTTTGGCTCAATACAGATACACAGATGCGATCATATGGGGCACCTGTTTTTCCTCCAATTCTTGAATCCTCTTCTGAGCGACTTTAAGCTCCTTCCTGAGGAGGACGACCATTTCAGCAGCGAGCTCTCCATCTGCATTGATAGACTCCATGATGTACGATGTGACACGTCACAGTGTTAGAGAAAGATTTGGTTGAGGTCAAGTTGAAGTCCCGGTCGTGTTTGTTTGGTAATTTGGCAGCACTCTCAGGGCCGAAGCCGATTACATGTGTAATAAGTGCTAAGTGCCCAAAGAAGACGTCCAACCTTGACCGTGATCCTAGGTAACACATTGATGATTTCGGTCTTCAACGGATTGTGCTTGCACCAAAGACTTTTGGAGCTTGACGTCGACTAGCAGGTTTTTTGTCTTTCAGTGTTCTCCCATTGTTTTCCGTAGACCTTTTGAGGCTTTGCACAAATTCGGTACTCTCCGCCAATTCTGTACACAACTCAAATCGAATTAGTCATAGATTTCAGATCATGAATATGTGCCCGCGATTTTTAGCAATCGGAGCCACTCATTGGAAAGCCTATCCAATTCCCGCAACCACTGGCACATTCAACCTGGGGTGCAAAAAAGATAGAGCAATGTCAGTGGCGATGAACAATATGCAATACTTTCCATTCCTCCACTGATTCCTACCGGATTCCGCGGATTCCGGCCGGAATCCAGGAATTCCGTGGATTCCGGCCGGAATTGACAGGAATCCAACTGGAATAGACAGAAATTTCAGTACAAATCTATACTTCTCAGTTCCCCCTACCATTCCACTTTAGCTAGATGTCATATGACTTAATCTGCACTTATCAAGACCTCCTGAATTACTTGTGTAATGCAGTCAGTCAATCTATTATTCTATTCTATGCTGATAACTTAAACTTAGGAATTGCTTATGATATTCAAATTTGAACATGGATAATTCAGGTGTATTCACTAGAACTACATGAGATTATTCTACTACAAAATTATCCTACTACATAGAGTGTTAAAGGGAGGGGGGAGGGATGGAGGGAAGGGGAGAGGGGTGAAGGAGAGAGGGGTGATGGGGAGAGGGGTGATGGGAGAGGGAGTGATGGAGGGGAGGGACTGAGGGAGAGAGAGGGGAGGGAGGGAAAGAGGGGGAGGAATGGAGAGAGAGGGGGAGGAATGGAGAGAGAGGGGGAGGAATGGAGAGAGAGGGGGCATGGAGGGAGGGAAGAGGGACAGAGGGAGGGAATAAGGATGGAGGGAGGGAAGGAGGGAGGGAGGGAAGAGAGGGAGGGTGGATGGAGTGTTGGGGACTGATGGAGGGGGGAGAGTGTGGTGGGGAGTACTGGGCCTCGTCGCTGTTCGTCGGCCTGTGCTTTACGTCGTTCCTGTCGTGTCTTCGTTGACGTGCTCGCCGTCGTCCGTTGACGTGGGTGTCGTCCGCTGACGTCGTCGTCGTCGTCCGTTGATGTGGGCGTTGTCCAATACTTTCCATTCCTCCACTGATTCCTACTGGAATCCGCGGATTCCGGAGATTCCGGCCGGATTCCAGGAATTCCGGTAGGAATCCAGGAATTCCGGTAGGAATGGACAGGAATCAACAGAAATTGAATACTAGGACTTCTGGTTAATTAAGTTTGGACCCTGAATCACCTTATTTAGGTCAGACAAATAGAAGTGTAGCACTAAATCATTTACTAAACCAAGGCATAAGGCATATGACTAGTTACTTACTACTGCATCAAGACTAGTTACTTACTAATACATCACTTTTCCAATTTTCATTTTCATGGGTTTATTTATTTCAATCAGATTCAGAGACATTAGATTCTGCATGTTGTTCATCCAAACCCAAGTCTTCATCATCACCATTAATCTCCTGAGACTTTGCTTTGCGTTTCTGTTGAGTGAGGACATGCTTTGTGTGATAAAACAACATTGCATGTAAAAACCAGTTGAAATTTCCAGGTTTCATGTGTTTGAGAATTGGCTCAAATCCACCAAGCCATGCATTCAATTGTTCACATACTTGGGTATTGAATGCTCGCTTAGCATGTGGATGACCATTGTCATCAAATTCAATTATGACAAGGTTTGGAGCTGAACCATCACCAGGAGAAGGATTGCAATATGTTCGGCAAAGAAAATCAGTTACACGATGGGTAATATAGTGGAAAGTATCAACAATAAATCTTGTTGTGTGTTTCCATATTGCATCCCAACTTCCATTGCTAACAGCAGTTCGAAAAACTTGACATGCTTTGTCAATACAGATATAGTCAGGGCGAGATTCTGGGGTTGGATAAACAGCCTCTAAAAAGCGCAAAATATTTGTTGTTGACTCAGACCTATCAAACTTTGTCCATGCAATTACAACACCACATGGTGCACAAATGGTTTCCACACAGTAGAATCTTGCTGGACTAAAATAGTTAGGAGGTAAAGGTGGTTCCTCATTAGCATCATCATGGCGCTGTGGGTTTGGTCCTCTTCTTTGTGGATTCCAAGGTTGAGCTTCCCCAGGCCTTTGTAACATTCTCCGAATACCTGAACGAGTTTGACGAGTTTGATATTTTGTAAATTTTCGCCACTCTGCCTGATGTCCTTCACATGCAGAGGTGTCTCCAAATCTGTTGTTTGTACAGTCACGTACAAGGCATCGGGACCCATATTCTTCATTGTGCACATCACACAATGAGGCACCACGAGAATTTGAAAGATCATTTACACAATCATCAATTGCACAATGCTATAAATGTCAAGTTAGTAATTATTATAGTCAGAATAACCTTGAAATGATTCACCGTTGGTCCCATAACAACTCCATCAAGTACAACCATTGTGACATTTCTTTTGTCAACATCCATATCATCATCAGAGTTATCCTGAGAAGTAGGAGATGCTGGGTGTGGTTGTGGTGGAACTCTGTTATCTTCTGCCAAGGGTGGTACAGCTTGATTTTCATCAACTCCCACTACAGCTGCAGGATCATTCATAACAGCATCACTAGCTTTTTTATATGGCTGACTACATTCACTGCATGCATGCTGATCTGCTGCTCTAATAATTCCCTGTTCCCCTAAAAGATCAAATGCCTGTGTGGTGACTTCTGTTATGTTCAAAGGATCATTGAGTTCTAGGTCAATCTTGGATTCTGCTGCAATTGTGCGCAAAGAATCTTGTACAAAGGCCTGCCAAATGTGAGCACGGGATAGATTTGTTGACTTTGTTCCATAGGTAACATTCCAATATTGTGAATATGCAGAAGCAGAGCCATGGAAGCTATACATTGCATTGATAACAGAGCTTGAAAACAATCGATCCACCCAGAGATTACTGCCAATTTTCAGATACTTTGCTGAGTTGAGGTAAACTCGCTTTGGTTGCTTAGCTCCATCAAACTCATGAAAAAAGTGTTCATGATCTGCAGAATAAGATGTTTCACAATCTGGACATTTTGCTGTCAAAACTGAAACCTTTTTATAGATTTTGTGATCTTTAATCAATGTCACTGAGGGTATGTCACATTTCTGTGTGGCTTGCACCAGTGATCTGGGCTTACATGTTGCTGTTCCACACACTAGTGATCCAGGACATATCATATGAACAGGCTGAATAACTTTCTGGGAAACAGGAAGCAGCTTTCCCATGTAAGCATCTTGGTCATCATATGGAGTTAAATTCAAATTGACAGCCATATCATTCAGCTTTCCTGCAACCAGCTTGACCTTGGCCTGGGAGGTTGAATCATCTTCATCTTCATCATTATATAAAGAAATAGCTGTGGAGCCCAATTGATCAATTAATGCCCTAGCTAAAGCAATCATCCATCCAGTGGTCTGAGTCTTGTTTTCACCTTGGAATTCTGGGTGTTGTTGTCGAAAATGGAGATTCAACAAGTCTACATTTTCTGTAATTGTGAACAAAAGGGTCAAGACAGTTGCCAAAGAGATGTTAGATCCAAAGGTTGATTCAATAATTTGATTAAATGCAGAAAAAGATATATCTGGGAATGGGGTTTCAGTTCGTGCACCATGCGCTAATGATGCCATCTGAAACCATATCAAAAGCCAGATTATAATCCAATGTTGACTCAATACAGAGAGAGTCATAAGACCAAAGTGAGTCAACCAAGAAAGAGCTACAAGAAAAGTCCAAGTCCAAACAGAGCTACAATTACAAAATTTCACAATTTACATATCAAAGTAATGGTTCATAGGATAGAAACTTACACAGGTGAATTCTTCTTCGACTTTGCCTTTGCCTTCAACTTCAACTTCGACTTTTTCCCTCCAGATGACTCATCTGATTCCTCCGAAGACACCTTCCTCTCCTTCTTCCTTTTCTCCTGTTTACCACCTGACTTCTTTCCAGCACCTGAGCTAGTAGCAGCCGACCTCTTTCCCTTCGCCGCATCTTTTCTTTTGAGCCATTCTGCCAAGTCCACAATAGTGTAATGATCAGGATCTTTGGTCTCAGCCCAAACTTCCGAATCAGATTCAGCATCTGAGCTGGCATCAAGCCATGCTTTCATCTGTGGATAATTTTGGGCACGGCTGAATAATGCCTTCCAGCTGGAGTAAAATTGACTTTTTGCGATGAAGATATTCACCAAGTCAACAAAGACAGGAAACCAGTGTTCAAGACCATGTTCAGTAAGATGGTCAGCCCACTCTTGGCTAGATCGTAAACCCTGCATGGCTTTGGATGCATTTATCAATGTCTTGTACTTCAGATAAGTGTTGCGAAGGGTAGGAGTGAGTGAATGCAGATCCATAGAGATGTTCAAGAATGTAAAAAGTGCTTCCTTTTGAATGGTAGTCAGGGTAGATGGACCCTCAGAAGCTACTCGGCCACTCGATTGGCCAGATATCAACAAAGACTGACGAACTGCAGCAGGCAAGGAAGGAGAACGAGACGACCTAGAACGAGACTTTGACAAAGAACTGGAGTGATGGGAGAGAAAAGATGGGGGAATAGCTGAAGCAACCTCAGGATCAGATTCCTAGTGCATATTAACAAAGCAGATAATATAAATACTATAACAGAACTTACAAGAAAAATAGTTAGAGTTGGCCCAAATTCAGTTTTTTGCCACAAGTGAACCACTGAATCTTGAAATGCCAAAGCATCCCTAAATCTACCCTTGACTATCCATTTGCGTTTCTGCTGATCCAAAATATATACACGATCATTGTTATCTGAGAAGATAATCAAAATTTAGATTTTAAATTGTATTTGAAGTGCTTACCAGACATTGGAGAATAATACTTTGCAACATGTTGAAGAAGGGGTGCCAAAGCCCCTTCAAATGGAATTGTTACTGCAATGACAGCTGCTTCATCAATATCTATGGTGGTTGGGCGGGTATCAGAAGGGAATAAGTTGACAGTGCCCTCAATATCAATAGAAATGTCATCCCCAGCTGGATCAAAATCCCCTATGTTTGGGGCATTTCCCAGAGCCTTGCCACGGATAGTGGCTCCATATGGTTTAGATGCTCCACTAGATCTAACTAATTGAGAACCACTAGAACTTCCAATAGCCTTAACATTGCGGGCCCGGCCACGCTGAGATGACTGTCCATGAGGAGGACTGTGCATTTTCACATCCAAAATACTATCATCAGAAGCATCAGCAGTAGCAGTGATAGGTTCACTGGGCTGAGTTCACTTAGCTCTAGAAGGTGGACCTATGCGAACAGTAGCAGACGTAATCTTGGCACTCTGGCCACCAGTATCATTATCAGAGTCAGAGTCACTATGATCCCCACTGTCAGCCTGAGACCCAGAATTATCACTAGCATCGTCATTGTCAGAGCTTGTATCAATCTTTGCAGCAGTCAGCTTAGGTTCACGATCAACACAAGTACGACTGCTAGAAACAGTAGGTCGAGGAGGCAGCACAGAACCAACATGTGAACGAGCAGGACGTTCAGGGGGTGCCACAGAGGTGCCTGCAGCAAGTAACTTTCGCTCAATTCTGTAAACCAATTATCCCATGAGTTATAAATTATCAAAAAAATAAAAAAACAATAAAACAAGAGAAATTAAAATACACACGGCTGAAGATGAGCAGGAGTGCCCTTAGCATTCTCAGTTTTGTCTTCATGCTGACGATCAGCCCATGTCTTTCTACTGGATGTGGTGAGGGTGTTTAAAGAGACAAAGCTGAGAAAAATGAAATAAATACCTCTTTTTCCCCTTGGCCCCTGTTTTCTTCCCCTTCTTCGAGTTCCCCTTCTTCCCTCCTTTCTCTGCATCATTTGACTCCTCTACAGCAATGGCAACATCATCAATGTCCTCATCACCATCATTCCCAACAGTCTTGTTGCATTTGGTAGCTGACTCATCAGCATTGGATTGTTGTCGCTTCCGGCTGGTGGACTTGGGTTTGGCAGGCACAACAGGAAGTGCAGTAGTACGGTTGGCAGCTCGTTGGTCACGGGCACTCATAGTTGGTGGTGGAGATGGAGGCATGGTGGTGGTTGGGAAGCAAGAGAAAAAGACGCCAACGTGGGTCTAGGGTTCAGAGGTTTCTCCGACAGTAAACAACCAAACAAATAAATAGGGTCCAGACAAGTCTGGACCCTCATACATTGAGAAAATACATAGGGAGACAACGGCGAACGACAACATTTGTTGTCATTCGTCGTTGGCCACGTTGACAGCGGCGTGGCACCAGAGGTAAAAAATGGAACAGACTACAACTAATTAGACTAAGTTAAAGTCACGTAGACGACATGGCATCTGGAAGACTTATCAGAAAACAAATGAATGAAGAGGGAGGGCCCCATGCTCACCAAAAATAAATGATGATGACGAATGTCACCATTCGTCGTCTAGTTGCCACGTCGCATAGGCGACGTGACAACTGAAAACTGAATGGTGGCACAGGCGTGTCGTTCTTGCGAGCTTGGGGCGTGGGATGGCCGCTCGGAACCATGGGTTGTATTGGTGAACATGGCGGGGTCGAGGCGGGGTCCATGCTCAATGAAATGGAGAACAACGGCGAATGACGACAGGCATCATTCGCCGTTTGGTTGCCACGTCGCTGCGGGCGGCGTGGCACCTGAAATGTGTATTAGAGACTAATGGGGTGGGCGTCGTAGATGACTTACCTAGGGTGTTGCTCATGGTTCACTGTCTGGTTGCCACATCGTTGACGACGACGTGGCATTTGGGCTATGTGTCAGAAAAGGAGAGGGGTGGAGATGGGTATGTAGTACTCACCTGTTTGGTATAAAATAGACGACGACGAGGTCGTCGTCGTCGTCGTTTGCATCACCTGCTTGCCCCATCTCACCGTCGTTCGCTTCGCCTGGTTCGTGGGCGCATCGGCGTGGTCGTTGAATTGCGTGGGTGCTCGTTTACCAGGTGACGTGGCGTTGCGAGCCAGCGCCATGCCGTTTTCGTGTTGTTCTTGCTGCGTTGGTGTGTGGGCGTTGGTTCTCGTTTCATCGCGTGGGCGCTCGTTTGCTGTGTGGTGTAGTGGTCGTTGGGCGGTGGGCGACGAACGTAGATGGCGGTGGTGCGTGGTTCAGAGCGTGGGCGCTCGGTTGTTGTGTGACGTGGCGCTGTCATGTCGTCCTTGCTGCGTTGCGACGTGTGGTTGTTGTTGAGAGCGGTGGGTGACGAAGGTGGATAGCGGTGGGTGACGACGGTGGATAGCGGTGGGTGACGACGGTGGATAGCGGTGGGTGACGACGGTGGATAGCGGTGGGTGACGATGGTGGATAGTGGTGGCGGGGGGGTGGATTGACGTGAACGATGGTGGGGGGAGAGGAGTAAGAAAGGAATAGGGTTGAGGGTTGTTGACAACGCCCAAATCGAGTCTCGGCAAATGCCGACGCTTGATTTGTGTGGGCGTTGTCAGCGTTCCATCAACGGATTCCGTTCCGGATGCATTCCGGACATCATTCCGTCCGTCTGATTCCAGGAACCATTCCAGCGGAATCGGAATTCCGTTCTAGATTCCCCGGAATTATTTGATCAATTTGGCAGGGCCCTCTGCCAAATTTGATTCCTCCGGAATTCCAGGAATTGCCCGGATTCCGCCGGATTCCGGCAGGAATCAGTGGAGGACAATAAAGACCTCGGCTCCAATGTAAGAGGTCCAGTTTCTGGACCTTCCAGCTGTGCACCCTTATCTACGCCATCTGCCTGTCCATGTTCCAATCATGGATATGGCCCTTCCATTCTCCATTGTTCCACCTTTGTCGCGCTCCGCTATTGCAGGTGTTTGTTCCATCTATAAAAGGCGACTGGCTTTTGGATAACAGCGTTTTGCAGACCAGTCTCGGCCTCCGCTCTCCACTGTTCCCCCTTCGTCGTGCTCCGCTATTGCAGGTGTTCGTGCCCTGTGTCGAGGGTGACTGGCTTTCGGCTCAAAGCATGCAAGAATGCGAGGAACGGTGTATACGTGCTGGAGTTTTCCGTCTAATCGGGGGTAGATGTTGTTTAGAACATTGTTGGAGCTGAAGAAAACGTAGGTCGGTTGGTTTGGGATAGGAGCTATTTCATCATGGGTTTTCCTGCGTACTCTTCACGTATTTTTTTTTCTGAACTCGAGTTTCATCTTTTGCTACCGCCAGGATTTTGATTCACGTATTCACTTGTTGGCCAGCTACAAAAATATTTCTCGGCTCTGGGGTTCCTGCCATCCTATTTCCAGGGGTGATATGATCCAGACCGACGGTTATTAATCCCATCATGCACATCGATATCAGTCCTTGGGAAAGGAAATCTGCAGCTGCTGCAAGATCGGATCACCACTAAGATGTGCGTATTGTTCTTTGTTTGTGGACTTCTCTCAGCTTTTCACAGACCACAAGGAGCCTATTATGATGTAGTACGTTGAGTTCATCGGTCATCATTTATTATCCAACCCCCAACTAGGAAGTATCCGCCGCCACCACCCAACTTGTGGTCAGACACAAGTTCGACGAATACCCGGAGAACACGTTTGTTGATTCAGGGTGATATGGCATGATTATTGTGGAAAAGGAGAGGACCGATGATGCTCTCAAGACGCTCTGGCTGACCTCCAAGAACGGTGTGGTCCTGGTGTATGCCTCTGGGCGTAATGGACATTGCCCACATGCCCAGTTTGAGAATATTTAAATCCCCCAAATTCTGAGAGAGCAAAGGTACTGCTTGTCAATCCTTGTCTTTTAGAACAATTTGAATTGACATCCATGTTCTTACAGTTATTCAGGCGAGATCTCGATAAAATATAGAGCGACCTCAGATTGAAGAATTGTCCCGTTTACCCTCAGAATGATTGGTTGGAATCTTTCGTTGTTGGATCTCCTTTGCTTCATTCTACATTGTAGTACTAATCTGCTTTCTTGATTTATTCGCTCGTACTAAGAGTCCACCTATATCTATGCCCGTCTCCACCTCCCCAGTGTACTCCGTAGTATGCCCTTCGTTTGTTTGGTTTGTATTGCGCTTACAGATTTGTAGATGGTCAAGATGATAAGCTAGTACTAGTCTCAGATGACATGAGCTTGTCGATCCTACATTGCTCGTTGATATTTATGAGCTGAAGATAAGAAACTGCTCGTACCCGGCCGTTTGGAAGCCAGGATGAAGCCGTTGACATGTGGCTTTAGATCTTTATTTTGAACTTCTACGTCCATCATGCCTACCAGCATACGAACTACAGTGCAAAGTCACAACAGTGGTCTTCATGTGTCTCACAGATCATATTGCCTGTCATAAGTTTGGTGTTTCGTCTGAATTCGGATTCACTAGCCTGCCTAGTCATTACAGAGTGCTGAGCAGTCTTTTATGATCAGTCCCAACTTCTCAAGCACATAGGCCACACCACTATGAGATTGCCTAGTGTCCTCTACCTATTCCCATTGATTGTACCCCAGCCGCCATCCCCTCCTACGTGCGCCAGAAACGTTGAATCCTTCGCAGGCCTCTTATCTCCCCCTCCTGTCGCTCTATGTGTTTCCCATCTGGCCTCCAACCGAGTTCTGACATGTTTTCCTGCTCGGGCAGTCTCCTCCGATTCACCATTTAATACATCTGCTCTTTCCGGATCAGCTGTATCCAGTGCACTCGACTTGCCAAACAGTAATACGCCTGGAGCCTTTCAGTTGAGGGACGCAACACCAGACCCGTCAGGTGTTTGCCAAGGCCTAATCGAGGACTTGGATATCACAGGTCTTGGTGAGCGACAACAGCCCTTGCATTGCACAGATTTCGTTTAAGAAGGCATTTACAGGTGTCCGAATAACATTCTACATGACAAGCGTCCTCACAGGTCAGGCGCCTAAGCACTGCATTCTCTCGGAGTCGCTTGACTAATAGTTGGGATTTTTCATGCAGTTATTAACGCATGCATTCCAGGTAGTGATGCAAGAGGTTCGTAAATCACACATCTCTTCAAATGCCTGAGACCAACTATGCAAAATTTTGTAAGGTTCATCCTGGGCAACATTATTCACTTTCGTTGCTCTCATGGTATCAGCAATAGCGCAAGCTGCAAACCACTCCATCTCCCTCTACAATACTATCATCGTTTTATATCTCTGCTACTTACAACTTATTTGCAAGCTCATGCTAGTCGTTGGATCCATGCAGAAGAGAAGTATGGGGGCCCCAGCGTCCGACGTTGGCCTCACTGCAAAGGTGGTCCTTTCGTTACTACATTGGCCTTGGCATGGCTTCGGGCTTTACGTTTGGGTTCATGCCAGGAGGTTTGGATCCCAGCCAGAGTGCAACGCGGCTACCAAATTGATAGTCTTTGGAAGGGAGCTATCAGCGATTGGTTCGGGGCATGTGGTATCCCTTGGTGAGTAGCATGCCCGTTACCACTCAAGGACTGTTGATGACACTACTCCTGAAGTTTTCTTTGGTATCAGTGCTACAGTGGTTCTAAGTGTCCCGGTAATTACACTCGCAGGAGTTGGTTTTCTCTTGGTATTCTTGATCAAAGCCTTCCATCCGCTCATTGGCTCGTACCGCCTTTCAGCTGGCCCTCGCACTTCCTTCATCAATATCCTCTTCGTCAATATCTACATCACGTTCTGTTTTGTTGTCCAATGGATTTATGTGGTTGTGACTATCGAGCAAACTATTCAGCGGAATCCAGTCATCCATAATGGCCCACGGTTTCCAATTACATTTGGCCAGGTTTGTTGTTCCTTTCATGCTGACTATCATGTTTGTTGAAACTCCTCAAAGATTTTCCCGGTCGTAACAATTGGTGCTTGCCTTGTCTCTATTTATAATGATCTACAAGAGTCTTGACAGGGGCCACCCATTAGTCAAGGCAATGATCCCAATGGCCTGGGGACTTCAATAAAAGCAGATGTATAGAGTGACTATTAATGTGGGTTTCTTATCACTGAGATGGAATTGCTAGCTAAATACATCGTTAGTCTTGAGGGGCAGTTTCAGAATACCGGAAAAGCTATATGGATTTCTTTTTCATTTGTCCAATCCCAAACAGCACGTTCTGCTTGCGCTCAGGTCTTTTGTTCAAGTTTCCGGGAGCGTTGGCATTCGAGTTCCAATTGCTTGTTATTATGGCTCGTTAGTTGATCAAGTCCTTTTTGACAACTCTTTGATAGTTTACCTGCTTTTTGCTTGATTTCGCAGAATGAACTTTGGACATGTCCTTTTTCTACCCAGTGTAATCGTGATTGAATTATTTTTGGATTATAAGCTGTATACATGAGTAATGAATCCTTCCTATCCTTCTCAACCACTTGAACACCAAAAAATTCTGATGTGACTCGCTATATACAGTCAGAATATCCATCTTATCCAACCAACACATCTAATCCTCCTTCTCCTCTTCAACCAGATACCATGTACTACATCATCGTCTCCCTCTCCACGCCACAGTCAACCCTTTAGGCCCTCAAGCTACCGTTTTGTGATCACATGATGGAGACTGGGTCATGCGTTCACCTTCAATGTTCGCCTCCTCTCTGTCCTGCAATGTCTGTCGAGAATTTGAGACTGACGTGCCTTGTCTGGCCAGATGACAAGCCTGATGAACACTTGAAGTCGAATTAGATAACAGCCGGAATGTTGCCTTTCTCAAGGACATCGGATCAAAGACAGGCATGCCCAGCTCACTGACGTCGATTCCCGCAATCTCGTCCTCTGGAAGTGCTCCTGCCTTCCTGATAATTATAACATAGGACAAACTTTGAGAACTCTCCAGTTTGATGGTTCTGACGATCGCCTTGTTCGCAACAGTGATGCAAGTTTAAGGCAGATGATGGGGATCTAGGTGGAAAACCCGCATCTTGGGGGCGGTGGTACAAGCGATATCAAAGCGATATCAATTCCTGCAACGAAAATACAAGCGACCCCCCGAGAAAGCCTAGGGACGAAAATGCCTCACCCAGATCGCATCGTCTTCTTCCTGAGTCCCACCTTCGTCGCCAGATAATTCCAAACATCTCCACAAATGGGATTCAAGCCTACAAGATGAAACGAGCGCCAGTCTCCAAATGGATGACAGGCAAGCTCACAACCCCCAGCCCTCCTTTGTATGTGGCAATGCCTGCGACAATTGTCATAGCACGATTTTGGATGTAGAAGCACGGATGGGGAGCCTGGAAGCGAAAGTGATAATGAACAATTCAGTGGATGTTGATTAACCTGTTCCTCTCTGGAATACAGCAGACGCATACTATGCATGGAGGAGCGACAGGTCCTCCCTGAGTTTTAGGATCAGTTGGGGTGTTGCTGTCGGTGGGTGGCGGAGAGTATGGCACGGGACCTCCTTGAGCTCCAGTAGGCGCGGGACCATTGACGGGAGGGAGAGACGACGATGCAGGAGGAGGAAGAGGTCCTCCTGGTGCGTTGCTGCCAGTGGGTGGCTGAGAGTATGACGCAGGACCTCCTTGAGCGCCAGTTGGTGCAGGACCATTGACAGGAGGAATATACGATGGCGTAGGTCCTCCTGGAGCGCTATATACTGGAGGAAGCTGGAAACAGAGTGAGAGAATTAATACATTGCGAAGAAATTACAGTGTTAGATAGCTTACCGCTTGGTGATTGCCAGGTCCAACAAGATAATTGGATGGAGGAGCAGTTTCAGGCGACTTGTTTGTTACCGGACCACCTTTGAGTGGACTAGATCCACCAGGCTGCTTAGGAGCGCGGTCACCTTGTGGGAGATCTTTGGCAGGTGGGCCACCAACAGGAAGGGAAGACGCGACGGCGGGACCAGCAGAATACCCTTGTGTGGGGACTCCTTTGGGCGGATCGTTGGGTACTGGGCGGGTTGTCGCGGAGCCATTTGGCACTGGATTATTTGTCGAAGGACCGTTGGGACCCTTGAGAGTAGCGTTGCTCTCTGAGGGGTACGTTGGCACTGGACCAGCAGGAGGGTTGCTCGCTGGAGGAGGAGACTTTAACCATTGGGTCAGGTATCGAATGCTAAGTGAAGTTAAAACCTTCTTACCGATTTCACAGGATCAGCTGGAGACTTTGGGGCGTAAGGATCCAGGAGTTGAACCGGTGTGGGTCCGTTCACGGGGGAAGGGATAGCGGAAGGCGGCTGGACATAGAGGTAAGAGATTGTTTAGCATTGTAATAAGCTCATACCACCTGCTGGGTGTCACAAGAGGTCGATGGTCGGGGAACAGGACCAGTGTTCGCGAGTTGAATGGCGCAGAGCGCGAAGGCAGTGAGCATGAGGAAACGGTTGGCTGCCATCTGACAGAAATTAAGTGAATGAGACTTGAACGAAAAGAAAAAACTGGGTTGGATGGAGTAAGCAACTGAGGTACCTTTTATAGAAATTGTATCTGAAAAAACAACCTGAAGAACACATTGACTGCGCACAGAAAAAAAATCTCCAAACGGAAAGTCTTGGCCAGATGTCAAAGCTTGCAGACATAAGTTTCGTTCCTTCACACGACGGAACAACACCTCCAGAGCCCTATACTGCGCATCAGTACATAGCAATGGTAAACAAGAACTAAAAATAATCACAGGCCTTGCACTCACAAAATATGATCCACATATCAGTCTCATTTTGCATGAATAAGTGTGTTCCCGGCCACTTTCGAAGATTCTATTCATATTGTTCTTTGATGATAGCGCTTCGGAAGCTCATCAGCTGCGGAAAGAGTGTGATTGGAAATATTCACACACTTTGTATTGCTAGCTTTGCTGCAGGCTTGCGATTGGGGCTGAAGAACCTCGGAGAATCAACGCCACCATGGACATCATGATATGAGCCTGCACCCAGGCCGAATTCGCCGTTTTCAACGTGCATAGCGGCATGGAAGTAAACTATCCGGACATTGCGATTAATGAATGACACCGAACTGCCACACTGGTGACATTACGCATGATGCTCACCAGAATATATACCTGTTTTTGAGGCCTTTTGATCTCTATCACCTCCAAAAGAATGAAAAGGATCAATGTAACCCGACATTCGAAGAGGGGAGATGAAGCACTGCTGATGTATAAGATCAACTCAACGTTAGTGCTGGTAAAGTTCGGCAACGTCAAGAGACGGAAACTGGGTGTCAAGGTCAGATGAAGGAGAAGGACGACTATGGTTTCATTCAGTCAACATGACATAGCGAGAGTGTCAAGAGGGGCAAAAATGGCACTGCTATTGAACAACAACAAATGAGAACATTTGCATGTTACGAGGTGTTGCCAAAAAAATTCTTGCAGATCAATCGATCACAGTACAACAGTCCCAATCTAAAAGCTACCAGGCATCAGGTAAATCGAAATGGATCATAAACGAAATGCCTCTCTGCAACGATTTGAACTCACTTGTTCTATTGACTCTGATCCTTGCCTGCTCAATCATCAAGTCACTCCCCAAGTTCAAACTTGTTCTTTCCATTTTTGCATTCTATGGTCCAGAAAAAAGCTCAATGGAGTCCTGTAAGACATCGCAGGTTGTGTGAGAGGCGGCGTGAGCAACCCGAACGATTTGTGAAAGTTAGGCTCGTGACCAGCCTGCATATGAGAACTTCGATATACAGGCTGGTACGTCTGAGTTTAAATCCCCGTACCGCGCGGGTCCCACACCAGCTGCCATAAAAGGTTCGTAATTTTTGACCTCCCCTAAACAATCCGGTCCGGCCCATCCGGTCTACGATTTGCTTTTCTCTCTGGCCCTTGCTTCCAACGCATAATCATCTTTCTGCTATGACATCCCAGAAGCGCAGCTGATATATTGGCGTCTGCCACATTTACGCCAACAAAAAATCCCGTAAACGTGCAGTAAGAACATCAAATGCAGGTTTGAGAAGTGCGACAGGCAAATTTTCAAATTCTTGAAGTGCCTTGTTGGTGTTAAATGATACATAAGCAAAGAGCCGCC